TGCGAACTGGAGAATAATCTAACGAGAGAAGATAAAATGGACGCCAATTTCGAAGGTGTATTATTCTATAGGGAGATGTTAGTTTTTCACATTCTATATATCATTTTGTTCGTGGAGACACAGGCAACAACTTTATTTAGAGGCTCTTTGAGTGCTTTGGCTGAGACTTTAGACGAAAAATTCAAAAATGCAATTACATTGATTTTTAAATTGATCGACATTATATGTTCAATTTTTATGTGTGACAAATCGTGTAACTGATATAATCTGCATATACAGTACGTAGTGATCATAAGTATCCGACCGCCTGTCATTGTCCAAAATTATACGTATGTATAATAATAACGATCACCCAAATTTTCTAGACGTTAAATGTATATGTAATATGATCACTTATATAGTTATAGATTGTTAGAGCTTCTATATTGGGTATTTTATGTTCATCAACTTTCATGCCCAAATACAATAAATCGGTCACTTTAGGACATAATATCTCGATGTCCAGCGATCCGATTTGAGCGAAAATAATATCATTCGATTCGCCTAGTCAAGGCGAATCAAATAGTATTATTTTTATACGAATCGGATCACTGAACGTTGAGATATTATGTCCTAAATTGGCTGATCGATTTTTGTTAATGTCAAAAAAATGAATTGGTTACTTTAAGACGCAATATTTCGACATCCAGTGATCCGATTGGAACAAAAATACCACCACTCGATTCGTCTAGTTAAGAAAAATTGAATAGTAGTATTTTTGTTCAAATCGGATCACTGGATGTTAAAGAATTAGATTCTTGGATATTGAGATGCATGTTGTGAAATGACTAATTGTATTTGGGACATGAAAGTTTAACATATAATATCCGATATAAATGCAACAAATCTATTTAATGTACAAGCGATCAGGTGTCGTATTAAATTTAACGCCTCGAAATTTTGGTGATCGTTATAGTATAATTTGGGCAATGCCGGGCGTTCGGATACATATGGTCGCTACTGTAAATTATTAATCGATTAATGTTAAGAATTAAAGCTTTAAATGAAGATTCTGTTGAAATGGGTAGTATTTTTTGGAATAAATAAAAGTGAGACTTCATGTCATATAAAAATTTTAACTGAATAAAATTTTTACTGAAAAATATTAAATCAAGCTTTTTTATTTACTTTTTGTGTGTACAAAAATACATAATTGGTTTCAAGTAATATCAGTTAGAGCAAAATCCCATCACAATTTTGGTCTAATACAATTGCAATCTAGAAAGCTCAAAATTTATATACATATACTTTTTAACCTATATTAATATATATATTTTTTGACATTAAAGTTCAAAGTTGTAAAATCAGGACAAATCACAAAATTAGTTAAACAATTTTGATGTTTCAAAAATACTATAAATATATACAAATTATTAAGCAAAAAAATTTGTGTTAAGTCTGGACCGGTCTTTTAAACCGGGACGGATCGGACCGAACCGTAACTTAAAGTATTTGGTTGGGTACTCTTGTATATCCAATTCATTGTTTGTGGATGGTTAATTCAATGTCGCATTAGGTTACTACTTTTTTTCTGTAAAAAATTAATTATATTAGGAAAATATTATACTAAAAATTTTCTTTTAAGCTGTAATAGACATAATACTAGTATTATGTCTTCAAATATATGTCTTATCTACGCTTTTCTATCAAAATTGCCTCATAATAGCAGTATCAAATTGTCTTCGATAACCTATTGTCACACTTTAATGTCAATACTAACCGAACCAATGCATTTTGCGCTTGGAACTAGTCATACGATGTGATTACAACTGTTATTTGCGTTTTTTGTACTTCATCTTTGGTGATAACTTACACGGCGGAAGAAACACGCCAAATATAAATATTTTAGAATACATTTTATTGACTTTTTATGTCGTGTGTAAAATATTATAGATGATCTATAAACTATTTATATAATACAAAAGTAATAGAAATAAATTATTGCTTAATATCATTTACTAATTTGTAGTCGTCAAATCATGCGATTTTGAAAAAAATATGTATTCTATTAAAGGTTAGGATGACCATTGTTATCGTTATGTCATCGTTATGTTTTAACCTTAATTTAGAAATATATTTTAGTCATACAAATTCTTTATCGTTAAAATAAATAAGTTTCTCTTATATTTAATAATTAAACTTATTTTAAAATAGGTGATATAGTAAAAACTTATGTGCCAGTCAAGTGTTACATATAGCGAAAAAAAAGCCTTGAGCTTGCGAAACAAAAAATCGACCAATAAAATTGCAATTCCTCAGAGAATCTAATTAAGGTTTAAAGCTCAATTACCTAAATTCGGTTGTTTATTTAGAAAGAAAAAGAGGTTTATTCTTCAATTCAGGCTTAATTACCTGTTCGAAAAAGTTTTTGTGTTGAGACAACATCTACCATAAAAGCTATTACCCATAGAATGATATCAATAAAGTAAAGGCTCGATTCTAGTTCCTCGCTTAAAATAGCAAAGGCTTTCCGTCTTTAATAATCTAATTGTGCAACACGCACAAAGAATTTGTTTCATTCAATTCACACACGTTTAAACGAGAACCAATCAATTTGACAAAATAGCAATTCAGTCTTATCAAACGCGTCATGAAGACTTGCAAATTTTTTTTAATAATGACGCTTTTATAAGTTTCACAAAATTTTTAAGAGAAAACTTTATTTATAACGGCAAAGACCAATCATGGGAAGTTTTAATCTTCACGAGTTGCTTAATAATATTAAATGAAACGCCATAAAAAAGTTAATTAATGAAAATAATTGAAACACAATATGTTATTCTCTTTATATATACATATTGTCGTACTGCCATATGATTACACCCTCCCTCGGGACCAGAAAAAGTGACTTTAAAGAGGTTGTGACTGTATGGAGGTCAAATTTCTTACGCTTAATAGTAGTTGGGACTGGGAAAAATATGACTGCAGAGAAGGTGTGACTGTACAAGATGTGACTGTATAGAGGTATAACAGTATATATAATTGCATGTATTGCTAATTGATTAATAAAAAGGTTGCTGATTCTATAATTAATAAATATTATAAAGATGTTTAATGAACAATACAATATGTAGATGGTTTTACGCGTTACATTTACAATAACTTTGCTCAGAGTGTGTACGCGGAAGCACAAGGAGAAAAATGAAACTATAGAAAAATCTTATTGTTATTGTCTGGGCGTAATCTTAACAGGTTTTTGATTGCTATTCAAAATATTCTCAAACAAAATAGAAGAAGCATATGCTACTCCGAATATGTAGAATGTACATGTATGTGATTATCTGTTATTTTCGAACGTCGAAATTTGATTGATTAGTTTTTTAAAACATGTTTTTTGATAACTAAACAAATAAATTATATGTCGACAATGATTGTAACAAGCGTTCTTGTTGAGATCAAAGAATATAAACGACAAGACAGAAACAGGTTATTTCTATTGTTCAACTGGTTCTGCAACAGAATATAAAATACATGTCCAAAATTACTGGCCAGACAAGTATTACGAGAGAAAGAAACAATGAACAATGAAAAACTTCTTTTTCTTGTTTCTCTATTTTTAGATTATGTATATTTAATAACTAAAACAAAAAAACAAGGGTTATTAGTTTGAACAATGAAAGACAAAAACCTACAACTAATTATATTAATTACATGTATATTAACAAAGGTACTAATTATTCTTTATTATTACATAGGTTACTAGGTAACGCGAGTAAAAAATTTAATGGGACACTATTGTCAAACAATAAAGCGTGCCACTAGACATGTTTATGTTGATTATTATTCAGCTTTTATTATGAATAAATATCGGAATGATGCATGATTCTTTGAAAATTAAAGTTTATTACCGTTACATATTATCTGTCGTAAAATCTTTATTGTAACTCATTACGTATTAGCTAATGAAAATCGTTATCAGTTTTAGAAAATTATGGTGATCGGGGTTGCTATTTGGAGACGGTAACAAGCAATACGTAATGATAATTTTAGTATGCTAGTCAATATCGATATATTTTCCAATTTTTATTTTTTAAGTAATATAATTTGCTTAGATTCCCAAGTAAACTTAGATACTAAGGTTACTATCTCAAAACTTTCAATAAGAATTATCTTTAGTAAAATAATATATTTGCATTTACGCAATATAACCAACCGTTATATATTGTTTCCTTTGACGCATTTGATCCAAAAATCTGGCATCATTGATTTTTAAATCTTTTTTACTCATACATACTACTCTTTTGTTGAACGAATCAAAATTCGACATTAAACAACCAATAATTTAGTAGAATTTTGCATAGCTGTTATATAATGGAAAATTTACTTACGCATTCACTCATCAAAGTGCACCATATTACAATAAATGCTCATTTTTTGGCCTACATTGTTTGAGAGTATTATTAAATAAGCATATGCAAGTGCCTTCGTATGCATGTATAATGAAATAAGATTTTTCCTGCTACATATACGTATACAGTATATCGATATGTAAGAAAAAACAACGAAGAATACCAAAAAGCATAAAATGTGATACAATATAATTCTTTTTATGTGCATATATTATGTAATACGATAAAGGCTATTAATTGGGACATGCTGTAACAAAGAGCAGTTGATATCAAGAAATTTTAGGAATTAAAAACTTATCCCAATAATGTGATTACTAGTTTAATTCTGAATTACTCGAATAATAAGGTTATATGGTAAACTGCATCAAATATCAAAGTGTTTTGCATGCTGTTACTGTACTTGAACTTGTTTTTTATTAATTTTTTAAGAGCAAGCTTTGGCGAATTGCGAAATCTTCTTTTAATTTTCTATGATCGATAAATTTAAATTAGTGATCAATGTGTCATTTATTAAACAAATCTGGATTATTATTATTTCTTAAAATTTTGTATATTAAAGCATTAATAACAAAATATTTTGAATTACTAAATTTAATTCGTTGAGCAAATTGTTTTATGTATTCTAATTATTTATATGAATATTCAGAAAGCAAAATTTAAATATTTATAATATTTTATAATATTCAGAATATATTAAATTTATTATTCTATTTAATGCTTATCAAATTATTAAATTATAAAATTTACTATAATCAATTTAAAATTTATTGAACTTCTAAATATTTAAATAAATAAACTATAGATTTCTTAAAAAAAATTATAATTTAAAATATTATTATTATAGTAAACATATTATAAGTTATTAAACTAACAAAATTAATTAATTAAAATAATAATTTACTATATAAAAATTTATATATTATATTATTAATATATTTATTAATTTTGTTTATTATATATATTAATTTAAATAATTTTTTGTTTTTAAAATAAATAAATAACAAATAATTAGAAATTTTGTAATGATTTAAGTTTAAATAAAATAATTATCTAAATTAATCAATATTATTAGTTAAATTTACAAATATTAAATATAATAAAAATACAATAATATTAAAATATAAAATTTTCTTTTTATATAAAAGTTTTTTATTTTTTATTTTTATACAAAAAAATATATTTTTCTAAAAAAGTTTTTTTAGTTAATTAATTTTTATATTTTAATTATAAAATTAATTAACTAAAAAACTTTTCAAATTAAATTTATTAAATATAAATTATTTAAAAATTTATATAATATATATAATTTAGTTATATTAATAAATTTAAATTTTTTATACTTTATAAAATAAATATATAGTCAAATCTCTTTATATTCACACATATTTATAGTCACATCTCTCTATAGTTACCTTATTTTGCTTTTCTATTTACATATAAATATAATAAAAAATCTCTTTATAGTCACATTTTCTCTATATTTTACTTTTCTAAAAGTGGTAACTATAGAGAGATTTGACTATATCTAAAAAAAAACTTTATATATTTATAAAATAACTTATCAATTTCTAGTTTATATTTATAATTTTTTATAAATTAATAATAGTTCAAAGTTCATTACTTTTTATATATTATTATTAATTTAAAATAAATTATAAATTATATAACTAAATAGAATTATTTATAATAATTAATTAAAAAATTCTGAAATTATTATATAATAAAATTAAAATTTGTAACTTGAATATATAATATTATTTAAAAAATTTATCTAATAATACAAAAATATTATTGTTTAAAAAATTTATCTCACAATACAAAAATATTATTATATATAAAATTTGTACTAATTATTTTGAAAATTTTGTAGATTATAACTTATAAATCGAAAATTTATAAATATAATTATTTTTTTATATTATACTAAAATTTTTAAAAATATATTATTTAAAATTATTTTTTTAATAATATATATATTTATATATATTAAAATAAAATATAGTATTCAATAATACTTATCAAAAACTATTAAATAATATATTTTTTATATTTAAAATTTATATAAAAAATTTTTTGTAATTCAAAATATTTAATATAACTAAATAAATATATTTTATACAATTTATAATTTTATTAAAAAATATATTTTATTAACAAATTTTAATAATATTATTTTTTTTTAATTATTAGTATATAATAATAATTAAAAATAATATAATAATATTAAAATTTATTAATTAAATATAAGAAAATATAAATTTTTCTCTTTATATAAAAGTTTTCAATTTTACTAATAAATACTTTTATTTTTATATTAAATGAAAATAATATCACATATTTTAACATATTTTTTTCAGATTTTTTTAGATTTAATCTGATAAAGCTGTTCAAATTACATATAAAATCAATTATTTTTTTATATATTTTAATTATAAAAAATAATTAACTTTATATGCAATTAGAATAGCTTCATCAAATTAAATCTATAAAATTTGAAAATAATATATATTAAATATGTGATATTAATATAAAAATAAAAATATTTATTAATAAAATTGAAAACATTTATATAAAGAGAAAAATTCATATTTTATTATATTTAATTAATAAATTTTGATATTGTTATATTATTTTTAATTGTTACTATATATATTATAAATAAAAATTATATACTTGATTAATTAATATATATATACTTATAATAAATTATTAAAAATTCAAAAAACTAATAAAAATTAAAATTATTTATTAAGTTAATAAATAAAATATTTTTCAAATAAAATCTAAAAAATATTTATTAATAAAATATATATTTTTAATTAAATATAAAACAAAAATATTATTATTAAATTTATATAATTAATAATAATATTTTTGTTTAAATAAAATTACTAAATATTAAGATATTAAATTACAAAGTAACAAATTTATTTTTAAAATTTCTGATAATATATTATAAAAAATATATATTACTTTCAAAATTTATTATTAAAATATAATAAAATTAAGATTTTTTGTATTTAATTCAAGAATATTTTCTAATTACAAAATAAATATAAACTTTTTAATATATTTTAATTAGCAAAAATTTTATCAATTTTTATTATATTTAATATGTTTTTTGAATTTTTAATAATATATTATAAAAATATATAATATTAAAATATAATAAATTAAATATTATAATTTATAATTTAATCCAAAAAAGTTCAATTATAATATATAATTATAAAAATAAATATTTTTTTTCTATATTAAAATTATAATAAAATAAAATATACAATAAAAAAATAATTAGTTAAATTAAATAAAATTTATAATTAATTAATAAAACTTATTTTTTATTGATTTATTAGATAAAACTTGTATTAATTGCAATTAGTAAATTTGCTTTTTATTAAATATTTTAATATTATTAATAAAAATTCATATTTATATATAGTAACAATCAAAAATAATATAATAATATCAAAATTTAATAATAAAATATAAGTTTTTCTTTTTATATAAAAGTTTTCAATTTTACTAATAAATATTTTTTATTTTTACATCAAAATGAGATAATATTATATATTTTAACATATATTTTTTAGAGTTAATCTAAGCAATTTGTTCTAATTGTATATAAAGTCAATAATTTTTTATAATTAAAACATATAAAAAATTATTAATTTTACATGTAATTAGAACAACTTGATCAGATTAAATCTAATAAACATTTATATAAAGAGAAAAACCCGCATTTTACTATGTTTTATTAATAAATTTTGATGCTGTTGCATTATTTTTGACTGTCACTGTAAAATTAAAAATATTAATAAAATTGAAAGCTTTTATATAAGAGAAAAATTTCAATTTTTACTATACAATTCCATAATTTTGAGAGCCACTATATAAAAATTATTATTATTACTAAAAAATACAAGTTTAGTATTTGACTTTGTTATATATTATCTATTTCCAAAACAAAAATTAAGCTTTATAATTTTATTTAATTCATAATAAAGGCAGCTTAGTATATGAGAAACTTACAAATTTTCATTTATTATTTATTGAGTGATTTTTATCTTTTCAAAATAAGAATAATTAAATACATACTAAAATAAAGAAATGTATAATTCCAAAAATAAAAGGTATAATTTTGAGTCGATTCATCTTAGTTTAGTTTAAAAAAGTTTTATACAATTAAAAAATCTTGATTGTTTTTTTTTCATATTCAGTGAAACCATAATATTTTTATAAATTAAAAAAAAACCATTGTCTCTTTATTTTATTTTAAATTAAAGAGCAAATTTATTAGTAAACAAATCTTACTCAGATTACATCATCACACTATTACAGTTATTTCATTTCTCACAGAAGAAATTGAATTTTAACCAACGCTGTCGCTGTCTCCCGTGGACTCTAGACCAGCTTGTGTGCCATTCTCTCCTGAACATACGTTGTTGGAATCACAACTTTATAAAATTTCACGTATGAAGAGACGACACGAACGGCAGATATGTTTGATTCGTAAATTCGCCATACCCACACGGCAGCAATCCGGGTTTCTCCAAAACTAGTGCACATATTAAAAAAATTTAGATTAACAGAAAAAATACGTATGTATTTGTCAAAAACAACCCTAATTTCGTTTTTCAATCACAATTCAGGTTTCGTTGTCGCCAATGAGTAATCTGCATCAATGGTTTTGATGGAATCCATGCATCACAAAAACTTTCCCACACTCACGGTATCATGAGGGATTACTTAACGTGTCAATTTCAATCTCAGCCGTACCTTCGACAACTGCATTTACAACGACATCGTGCACTTTGGCAATGAATGTCTGAATGCTACATGAGCATGGAACGGTTGGTTTGGAAAGAACGTATCGTAAGCGTTCTTTATAGACCACGGGTACTTTACATCCTACTCATATTTGGGGGATTACTTCATATAGAGTACACATATGTAATTCAGTATTATTTAATAAAATACAATAAGAGATACTTTGCAAAAAACTGCTCTCAAAAAGTGGGAAGGATACTTTACGTGGGGGGTATTATAGAGAACGTTTTACGGTATTTTTCAAGAAGTCTACGCCTACATGATATTTGAATTGTTAGTATGGGGTGTTCGCTGAAGAAAATGCCGACAGAATGTACTGGTACCTTCGACTTCAAGAATAACATGACCATCAAATTGAGCTCACCCTTTAGTGCTTTAATATCTCTTTTCTAAACATAAATGCCGAGAGGTAGCCCAGGTCTTGAATTCTGATGAGGTTTCATTACCGGATTGGACACATCATCATTTTCATGTAATATTGCTATTTTGATTTGACCAATAATAAATTAATTACAGTATTGATCAATGGTACAAAAAGAAAAACGACAATCAATAAGTGAATACTTGATACAAACACGAGTACAAGAAGAAACTCAAAAAGAACGAGGACGAAAGGAAGAGCGTAAGCAGAAAGAAGGGGGAGAAAGCAGAATGAAAAAGCAAAGATTTTTTATTCGCGCAAGGAAAAGCGATCGTACAATGAAAAGCAGACCCCTGCAATTCATTTGTTCACTTTGTCTGGTTCTGTTACAGTACAAATTTTATGAAACAGATCCATTTTATGAAACACCCGTCGTGTTACAATATACAGACCATATGAAAGTGAGAGCACTTTTAATCATACAGATTCTGTCTCTTTGAACATAATCGACTGATCGTTTTCTGTTAATCCTTGGCTAAATCTCGCTATTATTATTGGCTCTATCATGAAAATTTCAATTAGATTCAATTTATATCTTTTATTAGTAAACAGAAGAAATAAATTAATAAGTGATTAGTCAGGTTCAATGATAATCATCAAAAATTCCAAACTTTCCCATAAATGTAAAATAACAGACTGCGAGATTTATTATTCAAAATTATTGATGCGTACATCACATTTAAAAACTGATTTCAAAATTTTGGCCGGAAAAGTGCGAATATTCAGGTTAACACAGAGAATATATAATATCTAACAAGCGATATGTAAAAGAAAATGAATAAAGTAAATATTAGTTTGACCTTCTCGCCATACCACACAAGAATCTGCTGTACACGCGTGTACATTATTTTTTCCAGTTCATTTATTCGCGCAAATATGTAGTTCCAGGTATCCTAAATTTAATACTGATTTAACACTAATATTAATTTGTAAAAGAAAGTTATTGTTTATGTAAAAAGGTTAAACTATTGCTTTTATTATTTTTTTTTTGGTTTTAAAGTAGTATATTTTTTTTAAATAAATCGGTGATAGCTACCCCCTAACAGTACACACACACGCACGCACGCACACACGCACTAATATTCACACGTACACAGAGAGTGAGAAAGAAAAGAGAAAGTTTCCAGAGACAAACCAAGAAAATATAATTTTTTGCCAAATTCAAGATCATCGAAATATATTCATTCATGTATGCGTATATAATGGAATATTATTGTGATTATATAATTCAATCATAGTATAATATTAATAACATATTGATATTAATTTATATGTTGTAACTTTCTATAGTTCACTTGCTGCAGTATTTATTACTCAAGTAACCTGTTTTTTTTAATATACTAACCCTTGATTATATGCAACCCACTAAAAAAAGAAAAGAAAGATGAAAAATTTAACGTAAACTATTTATTTTTATTATTTTTATCGTTATTATTATTATTATTATTATTATTATTATTATTATTATTCTTACTACTACTACTATTATTATTATTACTATCATTATCACATCAGCAGCAATAACCGATTATGATAAATAAAACGTCAATATAAATATATTGTTATTTTATTTATTTTAGTTAGTAATGACATTTCTTTATAAATATGTCAATTTTTCATGATAAATGCCTCGTTATTTGGGATCTTGTTTTTTTTTGCTTGAGATATTGGGAGAAGAATAAAATCCCATAGAGCGAGGAAATAACAGAGGATTGATTCTTTCGTCACTTTCTCTTCTTTATTACATTTAGAAAATCCAAAACTTGCATCTAAATATTCGTTATTAATGTTGCTCGGCGAGCAATAAAAAGTCAAATTGATTTTTGAAAAAAAATTCAAAATTTCTCTAAAAATAGCACAGACGTAATTATATGAATAACAATTAAGAACCAAACACAAAGATAATTGTTCTCGCTCGTTAATAATAACACGCATAAGAACAGAGCACATATCAATTACGGATACGCACGATTTTTATAAACCACATAAATTAACTTCACCTATACACAAAAGAACACAAAAACCGCAAGATTTAATTAAGTCGCCGTTTTTTCTTATAAATAATTTAGAATATTTTCTCTAAATTATTGATTAAGATTTTTCACTAGCATATAGCATCCAAATTTTCTTCAAAAAATTTATAATTAATATGCCCTCCAGAGAAAACCCAAGAGAACCATCAAGAAAACCATATACAAAGCGAATTTCCATTCCACCCGACAAAAAAATTGACAAAGAACTAATTAATATTGGATATTATGACGATGATGATTTGAGAATAATTCCTGCAAATTATACAAGAAAACGACTCGATGAACTAGGTCTTTTTTATTTCAATAAGACGATCTGGGCTAATTGCAAGATACTCGTTACCGGGATTGCTGATACTACTAAGGAGCAGGAATTTCCAGGACACGAATTATATCTCGTGTCGAAGAGTGACTACTTTAGGAAGGCGTTCGAGAAATTCCACCAACGACGACCTGACAACAATTTAGAAATAATTGAGGATGAGAATGGATCCCATCTAAGAATCCGTGTTAAGATCTTGGTACCGGAATTTAGTAAATTCGATAAAATGTTGGAATGGGTGAGTTGAAAATCCAAAAGATTTAGATCATTTTCTTTTTTGTGGCTTACAATATTCTTTTTATTTTCAAGATTTACACCGGTGACAGTGACAAATGGCTTTGCTCAGCGTTTACACCATTTAATTACAAAATTATCATGGAGAATGCCCATTATCTTGGGTTGGGGAATGCAGCAATGGCAGTTTGTATTCAATATCGAGAACACTTAACGATCTATAGAATGCGACTTGTGAGACAGTTGCAGGAGGAATTAAAACTCACAAACAGAAAAAGCATCTCTATGGAATAAAAGCAAGAAATGTCTAAACAACAACAAATACATAAGGAATTAAGATATCCAGCGTTAGAACAATATGATTTTTTTTTAATTTTTATCATAAGCAGCATCAAACACGCTTATCTATATACTTCTAATTATGTAGAATATGTAATATATATATATATATTAAATAGATTTGCCAAACAGCGAAAAAGGTTTTCTCGTTTTTTTTTTTTAATTTAAGATTTGTACATCATCATCAGTTTAGAAAATATTTGGCTAATTGATTGTAAGTTATTTCGAGTAAAGATTTTGTAATTAAGTGATTGTTGGTAGGATAGAGTACGTACATACTTTCAGAGTTTTGTATCACTTATTTTAACAATGGTATATGTTTATAATTAATTATAATTATCACTGCAAATATAATACATGATGATCAACCAGATAAAGTCTATTGCACAAGACCACACGCGTTAGATGCAACAATTCCCCGCAATGTTAATTTTAAATAAAAAAATGTTCACGAGTTTGAAAAAAATAGAATTCAAGGTCGAGACATATGTTCGGCGAGAATAGAGCAAGCATTTAATCTTGGAAAAAAATATTATTGGTGCTTAAGTGTCCGCTTGACGGCAAGCAGCGGCTAGAAAAGAAGCTACACAACACAATACATACAATACAATGTTTTGTTTATTCTAATAAGAATCATCCAAACAAATATACAATGAAGTCGTTCAGCACAGACAAAGTTTAGCTCCCTTCTTTTTATTACATAACTCTCGACACTATTTAAAGAATGCGTATATTGTCGAGTTTTTTCCGATTGGTCAACCTTATTAGACCGATAAAATAAAATTTTAGTCGGTAATATCTTGACGACGACGAAGAATCCGAGTTGAGAAAATCTCTCGTATAGAAGAGGTCGTATAATTCAAATTATGATTCATGGATCAAATGTTTTTTGATTTTTCTATATACGTATAAACTTGTGAAAGATAATCTCTCAACTAAAAATAGTCGCATGAGATTAAATGTCATTATTATTATAATTGTGACACTACCAGAATCATACATTAAACGCATACACAAATACTCTCACGATACAGGTGTGTCACGTTATATATTTTAATTTTCATTGTGCATGATTCTAGTTTATTCTGAACCCCTTGCTTATCTTTTTCATTTTTAAACTATTGATATGCGCAAACACGTCAACTGACTACTGTTCCCCTCTTTTGGAATCGTTATTTACAAAACAGGCCAATTGTGGTGATTGATTGAAGCTACTCGAGATTATTCGGAAATCGAAATATAGCCAAAAGGAAATCAAAAAATCCCTAGCACGTTGTTCTTTGTGTTTTATTATAGGTACAATACTGTATGCTTGCATCGCATGAATTTTATCGCTCGGTAATAAAAACTCGTGTACATCAATGTCTTACTTTAAAATCACCTTCCATTATTAGGAAACAAGGTCGTTAATTTTGTCAGACACACACGCAACAACTATACATGATTTAATATATAGACAAGGTAGTGGTAACAGGTAGTAATGTGACTTAAATTAAATTCTAGTGTTCTGTTGTGATGAATTGAAAAGAGGGATGAATGAATTATATAATGTTGATCTCATTGGTTCGTTCAATGTTTGATTGCCCCTGCAGATGTTATTATGAATTAAGAATTGAATATTTCTTTTCCTATGGTTCGATTCAATCTTTCTTGGACCAAGTTTTTCCTGATGACGGGATATGCAAAGTACGCCCTTCCATTGCATTGGTAACTAATTGGTAACATCCTTAGGAAAAAAAAACATTTGCGTCGATGGTGTGAATCAATTTTGGTCGTCATTATTTGAGTATTGCAAATTTGCGGAACGCAAATTATTCGGTTAATTTACCAATTACATGTATTTAAGTTTGGCCAAAAAATCCGGGTATTTAGAATATAAATCACTTTAATAGAATCGCTCTTACAATACAGTGAAAATAAATAAGTACGTAACATGTCCATGGCTTTGAATGGATTATTAATACAACTGTAACTCTCTGCAAACTCGAAAAGATTACTAATTTGTTAAAAACATAAGAGATTTTGTCTGGTTTTCTATAAATTTTGTACACTCTGTTCTCATTTTGAGTCGAATGACTAAAATCAGAACTTTTACTCATCTATGTGGGTTTTTTCTTTCTGTTATCGTTCAGTTAAAACGGATTATTGACTACGTAAATCTTTGACATGTATATATTATAAATTGATCAACGTCAGTACCAAATTTCATTAAACATTGCATACATGTACATGTAGAACCACGTGAAGTTTGTTCTAACCACGAAATTTCATGTTGAACACACAGGATGCATTTAAAAATTAAGTCCCAAGTTCGGGACCAAATATAAAGTGCATATACATGTATAGAGGTGTGCACACATAGAAAGTGCATTTATCTGTTTGCCGTTTGTACGAAAAATTCGGTATTCGTTCTACTTATAATATATGCCGGACCCATCATACTAAATAAATATAATAGCACATACTGCATATAAATATATGCTAGGCCCATGTCCGTCATACTAAATCAAATATATTAGATCACACACTGCAAAAATAAAGCCGCATTTTCTTGTGTGAAGTAAGTGTTTAAAGTTCACAACCAGTCGGGAGATATTTTTCGCCACTTAATATATTAAGATTTAGAAAATTTTAGTGTATTACAAAGGCAAAATATTGCTCATCTAAATATTTCTAATTTGACCCACAGTTATACGTATGTATTTCAAATATGAATGCGCATTATCCGTTTTATAATTTCAACTACATAATAAAATAAGCTCTATTTAGGAATTGAGATTTAAATTCTAAGAAAAAAATTACATGCACAGTACCCCCCAAAAAGTTCCATAAGTCTTGTTCATTGTTTCAAAAATATAAATAATTACTAATATAAAAATATATATAACTTGAAAGTTTTTTATTTTACAATCAAAACAGTCGTTACATTTTAAGTCGCCACAAGTCTTGTATTATTTTTCAAAAATACAACCAATTAGCTTTAAAATGATATAAAATTTAGAAATATTTTTTATAAAAAATTACATATATACATAACTCGAAAATTTCCATTTTTATATGTTTTATTATATAATTTTGGACCGGGCGATACTTTTTGGGGTACTGTATATGTATATTGAATTTCTGATATTTTGAATGAATTCACTTTTATACTTAAAATTAATTAGGAATTCTGATCATTTTGTTAATTTTCGATTGGAATTCATTATTTAAACTGATTTGGGATACTCAATTTGAAATTTATTATTTTAACTGAATTTGCTAGATTCATGCTGATTTTGGCTTGAATGATATTAATACATATTCAATTAGTGTAATTTGCCAATATTCAGTATGGTATAGTGATTATTGAATGTTTCCAAATTGAGCAGTGGATATTTACCTTACCACGGTTTCAAGAATTTCTCACAATGAAAACTGCACGAATTACAAGTTAACAACTCATATGTATTACATGATTTTCAAGTTAATGCTAGTCTTTGTTGAAGTTTGATTTTTTCGACTACAGTCAAATATCTCTATAACGAAGATGACAGTCGCACCCATTTATGGTTATAGTCTAAGCTATTAACTGTTATCGACATCAGGAAGTTTTTGAAAGTGTAAAACTACACATTAAACGTGTTGTTCAACAAACCCTATGTTTGTTTTACACTTTTAATTAGCATTAATAAAACAATACTACAAGTATAGAACAACACATTCATTTGGTTAATACTTGTATCAACTGCATTGTTTAATGCATATTACGTATGTTGTTATACACACTAATTTTATTAGGGCTTGTAGAACAATTCATTTAATGTATTGTTTTACTTTTCAAAAACTTCCTGATGTTGATAACAGCTAATAGCCTAGACTATTACCATAAATGGATGCGACTGTCGCCCTTTGTATTTTGTTGATTTGATAATATAATAAACCGAAAAATCTGTAACAGTAAAATTCAACATTACACGTACATGAACAACGAAATGATTTGCAATTTTAGCCAAATGATTTTTTACATCACGTCACGTAACAATTAGCATACAAATTATGATACGGAAACAAGTTTTGTCAATAGTTAGGATATATTTAATTATTGAATATAGAAAATTGTCGAGTAAATATCAAAAGAAATCATTTAAAACAATGAAAGTTTCACGCTAAATCACATCTAACAGTTTCTGCAAATATGGTGCCCAATAATAAAGTATTTCTTTTGTGATCAACAGCTGGAGTTGTGATGGAATGAATAAATGCGCCATCATCTTCCAAAACTTTGGTCACCTTGTACTTTTTACCAAAGTATCGATCTGAATCGGTATTATTCGAGATTTTCAGGATCATGCCCGGCGATTTTGGATTATTTGGATTCTCAGAATATGCTATAAAGCGCAAAATCTTTGGAAAAGCTTTTAGGTTCAATTTTAAAAATATTAATCTTTATTCTTAATTATTCAACAGAAAAGCATGATTTTTAGTAAAATTTCAGATTTACCAGCGATATAAATTTCTCCAGTCTCCTCATCACTTGATGTATTAGCAGATGGATAACCAAGTCGTATTATTTCTAATTCGACCAATCGATTATCTTGTCGCCGTTCATATATACACGATCAATTCACCATCAGCCGCAGCAGCGATGACGTAAATTAATAATTTATCCCAATTTGCCGAAATTCCATCTGCATGCGATATTCCCTCCGCAGCTAGACGAGTAATATTTGATGCAGACGAATGAAGAACTACATTATCCCATGGTCTGCATGTAAATGCTAGAAAAAGGTGAGTAATTGACGGGAAACTAAAAATTTTCTAATTTTTATCTGATAATCTTGCATTCAAATGTTCTGAGTATGCCTTTTTCTCTATGTCGATGATCATTCGTCACAAAAAATTCATTTGGAGACATCGGCACAACATCGTTAGGCGTATGAATCAATTCATGTTTGACAGTTTCCACGTGTACAAGTTCTCCCGTGCCAATTATATGTTTGAATATTTCAATGACACTTCCGGTTCGACGGTGATTCACAAAAAAAAAGATGTATTTTCTCAGGATTCGTTGGATCATTGTAAATTCCTAGTCCATGGAAGCTTAAATCAGTATTCGCAGGGAGATTTTTAATTTTCAATAATGATGCTTTTTTCGTCTATCTTAGAATAAAAATTATTATCAGAAAAATTTCAACGATACAAATCATCGAACATAATGTATTAATTTACATCAATATTGTAAGCCCAGGCTTCATCACGTGGCTCGAAACTCATTAGTAAAACTGGAAATTGGCGGCCAATATTGCGTTAATCTGTCCGTTCCAGAGCCACATGCCATAAAAGCGTATCCACTCGGATAATGGATAACAATATCTTCGCATCCCTCTGGACCTTTTACCTAAATGAATATTTGAGAAAAAAACAAAAACTTTTTCTTCTTTGATTTTATCAGAAATCATGTAAATATTCAACCTGGAATGATACGACAATTTCCACTGCCATCATATGGAACTGCGTCACGGAAATATCCTAATAATTCAAGCGTATATTTCATTTCATTGTAATAATACGCAATTAATGCAAGGGTTACTTTAATGAGCGTGGAGGACATTTTATTTTATTATTTATTGTTATCAAAAGTTGTACGTAGGTTTTTGTTTGTGTCTGTTCCTGAAAATATAATGGAAGAATGTCATTGGTGAACCATACAAACACATTGTGAGACAAATCCTAAATTAAAATCAAAATCATAGAATGAACAATTCCTTTCTTATCGTTATTTTTTTTTTCTGGCAACTCCTTATAAGCTTTTTTAATTACTCTTCGGCTTGTAAAGTAAAATTTATTTTCAGTTCTCGAATAAGGCATCATTTCAATCTCTTTTGTCTAAATTCTAAACTTCACAATATATAATACATAGAACTACAATAAATGCCTATAATCAAAACTTCGGACAAAATGGAGTTTATTTTGAAAGACGATAAGCATCGCTCCCATTACGCATTCTTTTGAACATAGAATCCCTTTTCGATATTCTCCAAGTTTCGGAACTTGTTTTGCTAGTTCATTTCAAGAACAGCTGGCGTACTTGCAAAAACTTGAAATTATCAGAATTAGGGCTCCGAACTGTTCGGTAAAAACAGTTATCGACCGATCTGTCGGTAATGCCATCGATTATTTGAACCGAATGGATCGAATAATCACCGATCGGTATCGGTAATATCGGTTTACCGATCAAATGCGACGTTGACGTTAATGATGTAAACCATTACGTGTCAATTTTACACACACTTTAAAAGAAAATAAGTAGTATTTGTACATTGAGCGTCAGAAAAAAGAATTTCAATGTATATTCACGACATGCTTAGATAAAACCGAACCGATCGGAGCCCTTGGCATAGGGAGCGCCTTACGGTATTAAGAATAGTCGCTCCAAAATTCCGAATCAGAATTTTGGAGCGATTATTCTTAATACCGTAAGGCGCTCCCTATGCCAACGATTTGGACATCGATTTTTGCAAGATACCGGGTACTAAGCACAGCGTTAGTAATGTAGCATACATCTTATACACTTTTATTTTACATCACATAAAATTTGTAGGAAGTGCGATAAATTCAAATTATTTAAATACCTAATTTAGAAGCCCCTAGTAGTTGCTTAAATTTTCGATGAACCATAGTACCCCCTCCGGTATAAGTGGGGTGGGGTTAGTAGAAAAGGGACAAATTACTCTAACAGATTTGTCCCTTTTCTACTGACTCCACCCCAAGTGTAGATGTATATTACAGTCAGCGTTCTATGGTGTTTGGAGAAAATTGTCAATTATAAATGTTAGTTTGACGAATTATATATTGAAGGTAACTTTGATAAAAAATTGATCATTAGAATATAATTGTCGTTTTCGTTTTTCCGAATTATGTTCTGCTTTATGTTACTATTAAATTTGACAGCTAGTTTTCCTTTCATTTGAATTCCTCTATATAAACGATAACTATTCGACAAATCATTGACGAAATATCTCTTTTATTTGACTTTCAAACTAAGCTTTATCCCACAAATAAAATCTTTATTTTTGTTCTGCTTTAGTTGTTCCCTCTCTTACTCCTCTACGTTACATAATAATACAAATAACATTCGCACAATTTTTTTAACGTCTTTGCGGGTAGTTTTTTGAAAAATTTTATTGGAAGACTTCAGTACAGGAAAGTTTTGGCAAACTGCGTGGTGAAATCCAAAGGACTGTACGGCTTCAAGAGGCACAAACATCCAATCCACCCAATGTCATGACAACGAACGTGACTGAACCTGACACTTTCGAAGAAGTGTTTGTAAATTTAAGAATGTAGCGTAATATTAGCACACCAAAATCTCGCGTACAGTATTTATAAAAAATCATCATTGAAAATCAATCAGGCTAAGGTGAAACACGCCAGAGAAATATCAATTAATTAGTTTAATATTGAAATCCCTGAAAGTTTACTCACACTTGAATATATACATATCGATATATATAATATAACAGATTACAAATTTAATCAAATTCAATAAAAAGATAGCGATCCGCTTTTTTTACATCTTTCTCACTTAGAATGGTTTCAAATTCCCCAAAAATATTTTGACAATATTCTTCACTATTAGCGTTAGACTTGAATCGCAGTTGGCAAAATTTGTCGATAGCTTCCGAAGGAAAAACAAATGGGATTGCGCAGAGTGGTTTGAGTTTATGGTTATCACTAGTGACAAGTAGAGCATTATATTCAGAATTGTTAAGAGATTCCAATCCTTGAACATAATCACAATATCTTGCGTAGAGCTTTGCTTGTGTAGCGGCACTAAGTTTTTTGAAATCATCCGATTTACGGAATTTCCAAAAATCGTCAAGAACCAACTTTGAAGCTTCTTTATATACTTTTTTAAATTCAAATGTTTCCGACAAAATCAATGCTGTCAATGGATTGAATCTCGGATTATTTTCTAGGAAATGTTCGGCCACTTTTAAAACTTGTGGGATAATATATTTATCTCCTAATCTTAATAGACCTTCCACGTTTTGCCAATTTATTGATAGGAATAAATTTGGATATAAAAGATCCAAAAGAGTCGCGAAGTCTTTTGCATTCTCATTGGAAAGCGGAATCCGCGGAACTTTATCTTTGGACTTTAGGTCGAGTGAAAACATGTCACTGAATACTTCTGAAGCAAGTTGTAATATCATTTTATGTATGCGGAACACCGTGTCTTCTACCACAATATCTACGTCGCCGGATTCGTGAAAATGAGTTTTATGTTTACGCTTTGTCGTTGTTGTTGTTGTTGACGTTGTTGACGTTGTCGATGTTGTTGTCGTTGTTGACATTTTAATCTATTAATGGGTTAAGAAAGTTGTCGAAGAAAATTTTTGCATTCGACCCAGCGTACTGCTTTTATCTTCGCGCAAAATCCTTAGAAATTTGCTTGCATGAAAGTGCAACAAAGAACGGTGCTTCAAATTCCGGCGTAGCTTCATTTTATGCACTGCGGAATTTTGTGTAATTTTATTTGTTACGTTATAGCAATTTCATTGTTAAAAAAGTGAGTACATATGATGCTGTGCGAGTTCCAGAAAATATCGGAGAGAATAACGATATACGAAATGCTATTTCATACAAAACTGTTTTTTCTTCTATAACCAACACAATAACGATAATGAATTCTAGCTTCCAAAATTGATTTGCAACTTACTAATTTCGGATGAAATATAAATACAACGGTATATTCATGATAAAGGTTTTTTTGCTCGAATTGGCAAGAGAAAACCATTCGTTAGTGAAAAAAACCGAAAGACTCGTCTTGCATGGACAGACAAAGGCTACATTGGACTTCTGAATGGGATTCCATTGTTTGAAGCGATGTGTTTCGTTTTGATGGTTTTGGAGGTGATTGCTGTACGTAGTTATATTTGGAGACTTCCTAAAGAAAAATATGATGTAAACTGTCTTATATCAACATTTAAATCTGGTCGGAGAGGTATAATTAATAGTTTGGGTCCACTAATACGACTTGATGGATGACAAAATGCAAATAATTTATAGAAGTTCTTAATAATCATTTAAAAATCGTAAAAACAAATTTCTTGAATCGCGGATTTTTTTGTCAGGAGATATCGATATGCAAGCGATGAATTCCAACCCTAAAATTGAATTGGGAACAAAAATTAAAACATTTAATTGAGATTACTCGAGGGTTGAATAACATTCACAGTGAGGAATTTGTGCATCTTGACTTTCACCGTTAATGTTCGGTCATCCTTCCATTGCTGATTTTGGGCTTACCAAACCAGCAGATATAGAAAATCCTGATCAAAAAATTTGCGGAGTACTTCCTTATATGAGTCCATAGGTACTAAATGAAAGGCCATACACTAAAACTGCAGATATTTATAGTTTAGGGTGATTACGTACGAGATTGTCACAGGTGAACGATCATTTGGTGAGCGGAGTCATAGTAATGATCTCGTATTAGACATCTATAATGGAATACCAAGTAATGTTCCTCAGCTATACAAATTTATTATTAAAAAAATGTTGGAATATTCCAGAAACAGACCAACTGTATGGGAACTTTTTGACTTTATCGACTCTATCAATTATATCGAGATCAACGAGAAACGGAAGCCGAATACTTTGCATTTTCAGTACTATGGTGCATAAAATCTAAAGTCATCAAACGTTTGTATCTTATAAAATGTATAGACTTCTTTACTAAGAAGTAAATACAAATCTAATCCGTGAACACGGATTAGATAGAATAGGTCCTTTCGGATTAAGTTTTGTATTTACTTTTTAGTAAAGAAGTTTATACATTTTATAAGATAAACGTTTGATGCCTTTTAGATGTTATGCACCATACATACATAAATAAATTAAAAATTTTACTAGCATATACACAGAATGCTAAATAAAATTTCATCACCGGCTTTAATATTTCCTTTCCTTTTACATCATTAAATTATCTCCAGCCAATGTACACACCCCTACAGTATATTACCGGAAATTTCAAAAATGAATCTGTCACTTTGGAACCCAATATCTCGACATCCGGTGATCCCATTCGAACAAAGATATCACCATTAAATTCGTATAGTCGAAGCGAATTTAATGGTGATATCTTTGTTCGAATGGGATCATCGGATGTCGAGATATTGGGTTCCAAAGTGACAGATTCATTTTTGAAATTTCCGGTAATATACTGTAAGGGTGTGTATCATTCACATACACCCTTCTTGTGGCTTTACTACAGTCTTCTTCTTCATCATAACCATTATTTGCACCCTTCTGCACACGATACGACAACCCGTGCTCTTTCCAATAAACAGGAAAATTTGTATGAATTTCAATCGTGCTTTCTTTCATGATGAAATTACAGGAATTGACTCGTTTTGCTTTTCGAGTCAGAAAAATGTGTGTGGTACGCGGGTTTAAGGACCACAGTTCCTGCTCCGATGCTTTGTGCAGCTGCAGAACTACAACTTTTAGGTTGCACATTGTTAATAATATTTGATACCGTGCAAATAATCGATGAAACGATAAATGCGCGACGCGTTTCTCTTAGACCAGAGAATGAAGCCCATCCTAATTAGAAACTTTCGAATTTATTACATTAAAGCAAATAAAATAAAATAATGAATTCTACTCGTTTCAGATCTATCATATTATCAAAGAATTTAGACTATATTTGGTTGTTTTCTATTTTAAAAGACTGCGGCATTAAATACAGACAGCAAGAATTTGGTTTTCGAGTACTGTTGAAAATTTAGAGGAAAACAAAGCAAGCTTATTGAAGCGAGAAAATGAGAAGAAACCAACATTGAAAAGAGAGGTATTATGTTTGAATAGTTAAACATTTTAGCGAGAGTATACTTCTTATGCAAGTGTATCCAGGCGATCCACAATTACCACCTCCTGAGAATAATAGCGATAGTAGTTAGGGCGCGAGTGATGGAGGAACACTTGTTTTAAAACTCTTGTATGGATAGTCAATGACATTAGAGAATTCTGGTAGCGTGATGTTTTGGAGCAGAAAGTCATTTTTTAAGAATGGACTGCAAATTAACCATGGAGTTGAAGAACTTGAATTGGGCTTAAAGTTAATAATATAGACAAATCTTAATGCAATACATTATACTTCCATACGTATACAGGATTATTGATATTTCGATTTTTATAATTTAAATTTATGAATTTATTCATTTTAGTTACTAAAAGCGCCCTGGTTCAGTGGTTTTTTCTGGATAACAAATGTCGCGTGTTCAAATTCGAGTGCTGCCCCTGTACAGTTCTGGCGGAAAGTAATGGCGGCCAGTTTTTTTATTATATTTCATTCGATTGTATAATAAAATTGAAAAAAAAACATTATTTTGATAGTGTCTCTGAGTAGGGCATTATTCCCCTAAAATATCAGTACTTGATGTGATCTCTTTCCGTATCAATGCAAGTTCGAATAAAATTTAATGTTCTAAAAATTTTGTAAGGACGTTTTTTAACTATAAAAATAAAACTAAAAATCACAATAATTCGATGTATGTTATTCTGATTGAAATGAAATTATTACCGAAATGTTCGTCTTGTTGAGACGAATTTAATAAGACCAAAATTACAGAGATCTGATCACTGGTTGTCGAGAAAATACGTTTTGACAATTTTACAAGGGAAAATGACTTGTCACGATGCTAGTTTTATAGTAAAATTTAAATAACAATCTCACCGCCATTACTTTCCGCCGAAACTGTACATTTCCGGGAATTGGCATCGCGTGTTTGAACTGTCTCGAGCTATATATAGTTATTTTCTCCGTAATGCGGATCGATATGAATTTTCGTTGGTTAAAAATTATTTTAATAAGATAAATTTGTCTTTTCTTTAGAATCGGATTCAATCAATTCTAACGAAGCAAGTTAACACAATATTTGCTGGACAAAGAGAATTCTTCAACTCATGTGATGGTAACAACACACATGATAGTTTATCTATTTTTTTCATTTTATATTCTTTTTCTAGAGTTATCATTGTGATGATTTATTTCCAGATGTAGCTTATGTCAAAAAATAAATCTGAATTATCTAATTATTATTTTGCAAAGTTTGATTCTGTGACAATTAACGATGATCGAATGAGAGATTCCAGTTTCTAATATTTCGACATTATTCATTGCTAGATAAATTTTCAGATAAAAAATATTATATATCGTATTTAAGACTTAGATAAAAAGAATTTTATATTTTTATGACAATTCATGACCAAGTTTTACAAAATTCTCATTGATAACTCTATGAAGATATTTAGCAAATGAGAACCTATAATGAGTGTTTAGTCAACCAATATTTGCATAATCTGATTATATATAGAAGCATTGTATTATATAAATCTTTGAGTCTTTTTGTTAGTGATTTGCTTGAGAAAATTGTATATTCAGGATTTTCTAATATGAATAAGTTTTGAATTGGATAAAGTTCAGATATTAAAGATTCTAATAAAGTAGTTATAGACTAATATTATTTAATTTTGCCAACGTCTTTTACTTTCCAAATCTTGTATAAGCAAATATCTAATATATGGTGCAGCAACTCTTAAATCGACAATATGTCAAAAATTCTTCAACTTCTTAACTAAAAAGTAAAATTACTTTTCTATGATATTACTGGTTAGATTTTGTATTTACTTTTTAGTTAAGAAGTTGAAAGAATTTTTAACATGAATTATATCATTAATTTAAGAGTTGCTGCACCATATAATTTTGATTTTAATATTTATATAGTATCTTTATAGTCTGCTAAAGATAATTTGATTGTACCAAATTGCATATATTTTTATATAAAAAATTGATTATATAAAGCTTTTATAAAACTAATATAAACAATTATAAATATTATATATACCGTAGAGCACTACCTATAGTAACCTCCCTGTAAAAACTTTGCCCTTTAATTTAATCTCAATTTTTAAATAAAACAATTATTTTTTCTGCAACTAAGAGTTCCAGTATAACTCTTCAAAAACTCTTATCATTAAATTAAATAAAAAAATTTTTACAGAGGAGGATACTATAGGCAGTGCTCTATAATAATATAATTTGATATTCACATTTTTTAAGAAGTTCTTTATATAAATTAATAATATTTTCCATTTCTTTATATTTTGTATAATTTAAGCAAAAAACTCTTTGAATTATGATTCAGTAGAATTAACAGCACGATTAAAATTGTTCTATAACTTTATTAAAAGGATTAACTTCTTGTTAAATTTGATAAATATATTATTAATATCTTAAACTTTTAATTATAATTTTAATACAATTTCATTGAATTTATAATATCTAAAAATTTCAAAGAAAAAGAAATTTATTAAATTTTAACTTTCTGATTAAATATTATGATTAATTTTTAGAGCGTTAAAACCAAATATAATTTCAAATATAACTGAGTTTTCTCCAAATCAAAATATAATAATTATTTTATTAGTGATCAATATAAACAAATAATTTAGTCGGTTATATAAATCGATATTGTGAATATTGTATTTAAGCATGATCACTGAAATTGATTTAACTAGATGAAAAAAAGCTGAATTCTGAATTAAAAGATAATAAAAATTTTTATTTTTATAAATACTGAATTATTTTCCAAATTGCTATATGAACTCTTGAGATTAAAGAAATATTTCTAGATACTTTTTATGCATTCTTTCTTATGAAGAACATATAAAATCTGAATCGTCATGCTAAATTAACATTTTCCAAAAACTAATTAGATAACCATGCTTAACTGTATCTTTAATCTTGTCATTTTGATAAATTATATGGTGAGGCAAATTTGCTATACAATATGTAATCTCATTTATTTTTATGGTACATGTAATATATAACAAATATTAGCACTCCGTCATATATTCCAATAAATATCACGTGTATATTATCTGGAGGAATTGAATATGAAAAATTGATAATATAAAAATCTCACCTTTTTTGTTCTTGATACGTCCAAGGTTGGACACTAGTAAATTCGAAGCGGATGCTACTGGCAACCAAACTTCCATTATGATGTTTGTTATTTATCATCATATCTACTTTTAAATTTAGCTCGCAGGTAAAATCTTTTATTTCAAGATTTACTGGTCCCAAATTAAAGGCATTATTGATCATTTTTCGTGATTTAGGACACTTAGAGTCTCGTGTAGCGTCTCATCCGTCATATGATATCATGTACCAAAGTTCACGGAATCACTTGACTTGTGAATGTTAATCTTGCCAAAAATTATCCTATAAATTCGCAAATCGTAATTCAGCTATCCTTTTAGCAAGAAATCAAGTTCACGTTCATGTTTTTGTGTATAGCGTTCCGGCATTCTTGCGGATACGATATTAACGTTGATCGAGACTTCACACATTACGATGTTTATATTTTTCTCCGCTATAAATTTTCGCCTGAATTGCACTTTAATTTTTTTAGCAATGTGTACGGTGTGGATGCGTATGCTATTAACTATGTATGATCGAGAATTTTTCTTGGCGGTTAAAAATGTAACGCACACATGATTTTAAACAAACATGGAAGTAATGCATCACTCTTTTTGCGAAGTCTTTCACATTTTGATCCATCTCGGGATAAAGGTAAAAAGAACCAGTTTTTTTATTCTGTAATCAAGCTAAGATTATCTCAATTTTAAAGATTATATCAACCATGTCATTGCTAAATAAATTCGAAGGTAGAATCAGAACTATGGGAATGTATCTTAAATATACAATCTCTAATCATACTTAAATCATCAATTCATTCTGTTATTTCAATAATAGATGATAAAACAGCACATCGAACAGCATAGAGGTCAGTCTATAGCAATGGGGTTAGGTAAGGAGGTGTAGGAAGCTGGATAGTAGATAGCATCCAATTGTAAAGGCATTCTAGCCGAATATTGATAATGCATTGACCGGCCTGAATGTCAAGTCTGTTGCCATACTTGTCAATGGTATCAAATTCATATACCTTTGAATAAAGGTACCTTTAATATCCAAATTGTGCCAAAAAGTCAAACAATTCAGCAATCATGACATACCGTAGGATCTAGTTTTCCGAATGTTGTTCGATTATCTATGCAATAATGCCGAATTTACTAACCCCCCTCAAGTTCTGATTGGTTGAGGATATTAAAGGTTAATTTTAGCGTTAGGGTTAGGGTTAGAGTGGATATCAAGGTTATATGTAAAATTGCTTCCCGACATTTTTTATTAGTACTTAAAGGCATTCATTTTCATTTTTAATTTTCTTGTGTCGGATTTGTCTTGCCGGATTGATAAAAAAATTTATGCATTTTTATTGGCTAATCTAGAAGACCCGGTGTGTAGTCAACCAATCAGCAATGGAAATTACTTGCGTCCAATCAAAACTTGGGGGAATTAGTAAATGCAATAATTCCATGCCTGTTAAAGAATAATTGTAAAGAAAGAATTATAACTTCCTCTAATTACTTAAAGTTATTTGTGATGGAAGTTTAGATGATGTAGTAGGAGGCAATATTTTTATGGCAATGACAAGGTTGTAGCCAATAATTTTCAAGACATGGTTTTCACTTTCCGAGTACGTATGCCACTTCAACTACCAATTTGACCAAGGTGATCCTGAGAACATAATGTAGCCATCAATATCAAAATCTCAAAATAATCATTGAGGTTAAAACTCTGCATACTCATCCTTAAAATTTACTTTTGGTTTTCTTTCTGGCCGAATACATCCTTCTGATTCTTTGCCAATTCCATTTGCATTACACCATTAACTGCAACTCCAGATCACAAGCAGACTCGTGAGGTGCCGAAAGGAGCTCGTATACGAGAACTTTTCCCTCTTTCCACATTCATAATCCATACACGTTATGCATGTCGATTCGTTCTGCAAACTTTTCCCAACCGACGTCAGTCTTCAACTCATAAGATAATCTTGATATAGTAAATAAAAATGATACCAGCTATGTAAACTTTTCATAGTATACTTAGTATATCAAGTAAAAAGGGTTTTACGAGACTTTTTCCCAATTCGCCTTTGGGTGTATATTGCCCTGATCCCACAATAGTTGTCTGAATTTCGTCAACTCGTCCACAGCTTTTTTGGAATAGTGATGCTGGATACTTCTCTGTCAAAACTATTTTCCGGTTTAATCATTTTATTATTGATACCATTATTAGCTTGGCTATCTTTTTCAGTTTTTGTTCTTCAGGGCAACAAAGGAAAAAGTGAATCCGAGTTGAATAAATGTACAAATGTTAAGGATCGAGTTTTGATCAATGACATGCTCACATCATTATTTCTAACACAATCATACCATGCATACTCGTTAGGTATCATTTTTATTATAACAATAATCAAAAGGAAGATATATGACTTAAAATGTAAAGGGATTCTTTTATCATTCACTGTCATTCGATATAACGATAATGACACTCACAAATCAGCTGATTTGTGCAATAACAAATATGTGAATCTGCCAATAGGTATTGAGAGTATCGGTATATAATGTATGTTTATAACAACAGGAATTAATAACATGGGAAAGGGGAAAAAGACGAATCATTTGCATGAAAGTTATTCATACCATTTGTATGTATAGAGAAGTTCATTAAGTCAAAAAAATTAAAAAACAATAATACATGTATTAATAAATCAATATACGTACATGCATGTACTCATAAGCATTACGTGCCAGAATACTTGTACATGTACGTACTCGCATTAGTTGTGTGACCCATAAACTAAAGTGAATACGTAATCTTATTTTTTATTACAATATTGAAATCTATCGGTGACTAGTGATTAAAGATAGGTAATTAATAGCGATAGAATAAAACTGTTAAAAGAAGTACTAAATATATTATTAATCCCAGTACGTATATTGTTTGTCTCAGTGATAATGATTAGTATTCTCTCGTCAAAGCCACCACAACCGACGGTGTTATGGTAAAACGTACAGTATAAGTTCTTAAGAAGTAACGTATGGTGAAAAAATCAATGCGTACAACATACGCATTTATGATAAACTTTTTTCATATCGATATACAGTCAAACCCCTCTATAGTCACCATCCTCGGGAAAACAAAATTTGGTGACTATAGAGGGAATGTGACTATAGAGAGATTTTTTTTACTATGTTTATATGTTAATGGGAAAGCAAAATAGGGTGACTATAGAGGGGTGTGACTATAAACGGGTGTGACTATAGAGGGGTTTGACTGTATACGTTATAGTTATCGTTATGTATATATAAACCATTAGAATGTAAAAAAATTATCTGTCAAGTTTAAAAAGCATTATTTCAGGAATTCAAACATTTAGATATATTATTATTATCAAGATAATAGAAATATCAATGACATAGAAAGCATTAAAATTTGGTGTCAAGTATATATTGGACGTTTCTCAAATAAAATTTATGTGTTCTTAATATTATCAATAAACCTAACGCTAACGCTAATTAATGTAATTCAAATTTTCATAATGACATTGATAGAGAGGGGGTTGCCTTTAAAGGCAAAGGTGGAAAAAATGAACGAAGATTGATTCCCAAATGATAATAGCCTATTTGCTCCAACTTGTTCCCTTTTCCAGAAATTTCCTCGGTGAACTCTTTAACGTATTGATTCACATCATCGAAAGAAATAAAAACGCGTTGACTTGTTGGATTGTCTTTTGTACGCGGTAAATAAGGGACTAAAAGATCAAAGACCGCAGTATGATCAGCAGACTCTGTGTCTGGGTTCATTTCTCTTTGATTTACATGTACTAATGTAGTAGCATTCTTAGGCGCGACAAATTGATCATTTTCACGGATTTTCTTGCACCATATTTGTGTTGCCATATCAACTGGTGTTTGTCCAACTGCATTCTCATGATAAAGCGATCCGTACTTTCCATCATTATTCGTCGTAACTGATGGATCAGCTTCCAACAAAAATTTGACAAAGCTGTAAAGCCCACCTTTAGTTGCTAAATGAAGATATCGATCGTGTTGGAAATCATAAGAGAAAATATTGGCGGTTAAAACTTGATCCCAAAGAATTTTAAAAGTTTCTCTATGCGATAGGAGAATGGCGATTGCGATCGGAGTGTGTCTGAATTTTTTGCTACGTTGATCAAGAGTACGCTGTACTGTGTTTTCATCGAGCTTATTGAAGAGCAATTGAAGCAATTCAATGTTACCGTGATGACTATTGCATAATTATCATTCTAATATTAGCAAAAAGAATACAATACTATTGCGTAACATTAATAAACTTACGCGGCATGATGAACACCAGTCCATCCATCTTCATCTGTGATACCCGGATCCGCTCCTGCCTCTAACAACGCTTCGACACATTCCTTATTTTCTCTATTAGCAGCATGAATAAATGCTGTGGCTCCTTTAGTTTTTGCACGAGTATCTAAAATTTCTTCTAGTGTATCATCTCCTTCATCCAAATTAGGGTGATAGTACTTTGCTAATGCCTTGATTGCTTCTGGTTGATTTCCTTCAACAGCCCAATGGAATGGCGTTGTGTTTTCATATGGCTCAAATGTAAAGATACGTTTTCCAACTTTTTTTACATCTTCAACAGTGTTCATTATTTTCGCCCGAAGATCATTGTTACGATTTTTACGTGCGAAACGCTCAAGGGCACGAATTGGACGTGACGATAGAAAGTATTCGATTGACGCAAAGTTGCCATAGTAAGCTGCTACATGAAGAAAAGAAACATCTATTGGTTTCTTTGAAGCTTCTGGGAAATGACGCAGAATCCAATTTCTTCTTTTAGATCCGTCGACATCAAGTCCTTGATAATATCTAATTTCAAATAAATATTAATATCAATCTAATATACAATCACTGATTCTACTTTATAAGATTACTTTGGTCTTTTGATTTCTACAAGTTCATCTTGTTCATCCGGATCTTTCAAATCAAACAAAGCAAAATTATTTCCTCCCGCTCCATATCTATATATAATTTTGTAAGTAAATTTAATAAATATACAGTGAACACAAATAAATCAAATTATCTTACTCAATAAATAAATCGAGAATGTCTAAATGCCCAAAAATAATTGCCCAATGAATAGGTTTCAAACTATTATGTCCATTTCCTTGATCACAAATTAGTTTGGTAACGAGGCCGCCTTCTTTTTCCGAAACATCGTCTAAATTTGAATTGACAAATTATAACTATAATTTATTCAAATTTTTAAAAATAAACCTATTTTTATTACCTTTTATGCGATATTTTCTTTTTATCAACAATTCAACAATTTTAACATGGTTTTTAACGACTGCAACAGACAAAGCAGTAAGCTGCACATCTTTGGGATTTTCTTCATGTTTTATCCAAAATCTTTCGGGTAAAAATTCGGTTCTCGATAATCCCACTACAATCTGTTGTATTAAAACGAACGGAGATACATGTGATACCGATACTGATTTTAAATTTATGGTTGAACTTGGATCTTCAGGCGGATCTTCAGGGTTTTCTAGTGAAGCAGCAGGTTCATAGTAATATGAATCAGACTCGTCAGAGTCTGAAAGATAATCATGCGCTATAAATATATTATAAATTGATTTAATAATAAATTTAAAGATGATTTAACGAAATAAAATATTTACCAATGTCATAATTATTTATAGCAACATCCATCTCCTCATCTTTATTTTCTAGAAGAGGAACATATTGTTTCTCAGCAATTTCCAAGATTCTAGCAACTAAATGCTCATGACCTCGATAAGAAGCAAGAAATAATGGAGTCCAATTATTTCTATCTAATACTGCAATGACACATTTCTTCGAAAGCCGATCAAACGACGCAAGATCATTATGCCAAATGGCATTATATAACGAGACATAATCTTTGGGATTTTCACATAACTTCGCTTTCTGCCCTGCGTGACCGAGATATGTAAATTCATAAAGAAACTTGTTGATATCGATATTAAATTCTGAGACGTTAGTAGCAGCAGAGACAGGATTGGCATTAATTGGAGTTGAAATAATTTGATTAAGTAATTGAGAAATTTCTTGTTGTCTTTCTGATGATTGTTCTCCATGTTGCAAAGCATTTTGTAATATCAAGTTTTGGTTCAATAATATTTGCTGTTGAAGTTGCAAAGCTTGCCGTTGAAGCTGTTGTTTTTCTTCTTCGGTTTCTGCTTTTTCCACAGCTTCTCGTACTTTAGCCAATTGATCTTGTTGTATCGCTTGTAGTTGTTCGCGTTGTTCGCGCTGAGCAACTTGCTCTTCTGGTTTGAGGTCTGAAATGTTTTTTGCTCCATTCTCAATTAAAAACATCAAACACTCTTTATGAGCATTCAATTCGCGTTCTATTTTAGTTCGGCGTTCCTGTTTTTCGTTTTCGGATTCGGGCGTGACTTTGCCAACGCCAAATAATCCGGCGACAAAATGATATTTTAATTCGAAATCGGAATAAGTTTGTGGATAAGAACGCAATATAAAATAGTTAAGATCAGATCCTGTCGCTAGAGACAATAAATGTCCAGTATAAGAATTTGTCGAGTGCTTTTTTCGTTCATTGTCCAACAATTCGTCTAGATCAATTAGTTTTTTTGGAACTCTTGAGAAATCTCGGGCTTTAGAAAGTGTCGGATTAAACTCTTGTAATGCTTTCACGCTGGCTTCTACTTGGCTTTGCATGTAATCACGAATAGTTGTCAATCTGTCGTAGTAGGTATTTACATCGGCACCAGCTTCCACAAGAATTCGATATAAACCATTGCTCAAACCACGTTTTATTGGCTGTGTTACTTGTTCAAGAATAGCGACCGGGCTAGTTATATAATTAGTTGCTTTTAAATACTTTTCACAGTCTTCCAGTGTGACTTGAACCTATTTTATACATGTATTAAATTTTTGATATTAGCGTTAGTTATTGAAGATTAATCTTAACGTCAAATAGTTATAAAAAAAATGACATACATGTGCCCCATTCTTGAGTAATAGCTCGGTAATTTGTCGGTTTGAATTTTGAATTGCAATGCAGAGAGATGATTCTTTTGAATTATTGAGCTTATTAATAGCAAGAGATGCCGAGGGATCGATTTCCAAGAATAATCGAACAAATTCGATTTTGTCTATAATATAACGACGACGATAGTTATATAAACGATAACAGCTATTCAATTGATGAATAGTGAAAAAATACCTTACCGGCTTTTACGGCTAAATGCAGTATTGTATTAAATTCATAATCAAGCTAAATGAAAATTTAACTTTTAATATTTCAATAATTTCTTCATTTCATTCTTTAAATATATTCACATACCTGTGAAGTCATTGCTCCATTTTCTAATAATAAGGTCGCGATTTTCAATCCAACTTCTTGATCTCTAGTTAACATCGACAAACCCAAAGGAAAATATACTTTCTTTTTTGATAAGTAATCATAATAACCATAGGCATTCATTGGCCGACTAAACTTGATAGGACGCTTGACATTCGCTCCATGCTTAATTAATAGCTTAGCAACTTCTAACCGGCCAAATAGAATAGCGTATTCTAGTGGAGTGAATTGATGATCCCACGCTTCAATATTAACATCGATGATATCATCAGCTTCTTCTTCCTCCGCAGGGGTTGGAATTTCATCTTTGTCTTGATCACCTGGAGGCTTTTCATCCAGTTCCATTTTCTCAATAAATTCTAGTGATCCATCGGATTTATGGTCGTCTATGTCCTCTTTTTTACTTTCTTTACCAAGTGATACAAGTTGCGATTCTGTCTCAGCTAATGCTTTTGTCAAATCCCGTTCTTCTGCTTCTTTTTTATTGATATCACTCCTCTTAAACAAGAGCTCAAGAATATCCACAAAGCCAAGCGTGGCAGCAACATGTACCGCTGTTCGGCCATCTGACATTCTGGCCGTGATCCTTGCGTCATGATCTAGCAGCAGAGCAACAGCATCTGTAAATCCACCCATAACAGCCAATTGCAAAGGAGTTCTACCAAGATAGTCACGGGCGTTTACATCCGCTTTTTCTTCAATTAACGTTTTCTTAATTATTTCAATATTGCCTTTAGCGGATGCGGTACATAAATCTTCACGAACAGGACTAATAAATGCTTCTTCGGCCCAATCGTCCTCGGTAAGTGGATGGAAACTACCGATTGTTTGGCGTCCTGGGTCGTCTTTGATAAAAGAAATTTTTCCTCTTATGAAGATTTTATCCTCTTCTTCTTGAAGTTCTTTTTCTTCAGGAGTTCTTGGATCAGGACATGTCCCACAACAGTCATTGAAAACTTGTTCCATTGTGCCGAAAAAGCAGGGATGTCGATGAAGAGTTCGTTTACGGTTCTTTTGATTCCAATCAGAATTCATCACCATATCCTATTTCAAATAGAGATAACGATTAAAACAAAGAACAACAAGATGAAATATAATTGTAGCAACCTACTTTAGTATATAAAAGATTTTTGATACGTTTTGCATTAAATCTTTCACCATATGGTAATTGAACAGTCTCATAATCGCTGTTTTCGAATTTGCTTGTCCGCAAATTTCTCGATCTTGACCAACTTCTTGATGCATACATTCCTGATTTTGGATGTTTTGGTCGTAACAAGCGTTTCCTTTTCTCCTCCATGTATTTGAATCTGGAATCTGGAGTAGCTAATCGCTCAAGAACGAGTAAACGAGCAAGTCCATGCAATTTCTCGAAACTGCGATCGTAAATAGTAGGATCGATTCGAGAACGATCTAATGATGGAACTTTAATCTCGAAACCACGCTCCGCATACTTGGCTAGTCGCATTTCATATGAAGGTGAACGCCGTGTCAAATCGACTACATTGCACTGTTTCGTAATGGCTTGGTGCGCTCTTGCTAATGCCCACACGTTTTTTCCGTCGAATCCAACAGAGCAACAATCACTAAATAGGAATTATCGTTATAATTCATTATCTGGTCTTATTACTTAGAATTTCGAAAGAATTAAAATTTACACATCAAATCCAGTCAAAACTTCAGAAGGAGATTGATATGACCGTAAAACGATCTAAAAATTTTGTCATTTACTTATTATTTTAGTTTATATAAGCAATTATCAATTACTTTTAAAAATACCTGAATATGACGATATGGATATTGACTGACAATAGTCACACAGCTCTTGGCTCGAACACAAGTGACCTCCCATGGAACATTATCCGCAACAGCATTATAAATATCAACCATTTTTTGTTTTGTCGCTTCTTCATCCAATCCATAGATAAATAAATCCACATCCGAGCTTACGTAGGCTTTTTCATGATAATATTCTCGAGTTTTTCGTGAAAATGTCGAATATTTTTCAGGGATTGGAAGAAGGCAGGCGAGAACTGATCCGCCTGAATTTATTTCGTCAAGCAAATTATAATTAAATATTGATGGCATTCTAAAATTAAGTCAGTAGAAAAAAAATAAATTACCTGCGGCAAAAACATTCGACCAATCAAGTCCATCGAGAGTGCCTGTTTAAATATAGCGTTATAAGTATTTTGATAAAATTATTAAACCTAAGATAGTAAACAATATAAAAACCTTCGGTAAGCAAATGCCAATTCCTCAAAAATCGTTCATTTCCACCATGCTCAATAGCCCAGTCACCATCTTTTCGTCGATTTTTTTCTTCCAATGGCATGATAATCGTGCAATCATCTGAAGCATTCTTGGAGCTATTCGACTTCCAAATTGATTCATGTTGGTAAACATTAATCAAATTCAAGTATGGTTCCTTTAATGAAGGATGGACAGGAGCAGTAGCGAATAAAGCACGGTAATGAGATTCTCGAGCGAGCGCATCGGATATCGCGGTCGGTGAATTATGAGAGAGTGCAGTAATATAGTCCATGATTATTTCAAAGTACGTAACGGTAAATTCGTATCAGTATTGTTTATCTTTTTATATAGATAATCTGATGCATATCAACTAAAATGACTGTGCACAAATAGGAGTCACACACCGCAGTTTGATTTATTAAATATGTCGATCTATGCACTTTTAGGCATGAAATAAAAAACTGCGTCACTTTAGACGATCAATTAACTGACGCAGCTATGAGGAAAATGTGATTGACATTTCTGCGGTGTAAAAATTTAATGACTACGTACGTATTAAGTTAAATTATTTTTTTTATATTATCTTTAAGTGATCTAAAAGTGGATATCTTATTAATAAATATTGAGGTAAACAATACAAAAAAACATAAATAAATTGATTAATTAAAGATCTCAACATCCCCTTTCAAAACAACCAAAAATCTTCCACCCCCTTCACCAAAACTTAAACTCTTTAAACCATGGTTTACAGCTTGATGATGTAGAACTTTACGTTGATACGCGGTCAATTCTGGTGGAAACTTCAAAACGCGTTTTCCTTGACTCTTTGAAAATCGTCTTAATGCCAACACCATCATACTGGTCGACAAAACAGGCGGTCTATTGTCATCGGAATATTCATCCTCACAAAACGATTTATTTCTTCGAGCTGTGTTTAAATCCTCGGGTGAAAAGAAATAATCAGGGCTGATAAAAGATGTCAATATCTGTTTATGAAATTCTTCTAGGCCTTTACCGAGGTTTGGACGAGGTTTCGGAGTGTTTCGAATTTCATGGGAAAAATTCCAGCTATCGTCAGAAATTTGCTTTTTTACGGATTGCATTTGTGGTTGTTTCCGATTTGTCGTATTCTTCAGTAGTGAATTAGATTGTTTTTTTGATGATCTTAATTTCGACGAAGATTTACTGACATTACTTTTTTCATTTTCGTTCCAGAGATCATTTGATTTTCCTTGTTCAGAACGTCGCTTTTTCCATTCACGATTTTCATCGCGACTTTATAAAAAATGGTGTATATCGATATAGTTATTTTAAATGTAAATAAATAATTATGTAATAAGTTGTTACCTAAACGGGAAAAATTTTCCAGCAACGCAATAGCACTTCGCAAGTTCTCTTCTCAATATCCGTTTCTCTTCATTAAACCTCTTTGTCCAATCAAGATGAATCCGACTTTTCGCTTTACCTTTCCTACCAACTTCACGACGAAAATCTTCAATCATCAAATAATTTTCCACTTTCTCATCATAATTTTCCCATTCATAAACATTATCCGTCCACTTCAATGGTTCTTCACCGAGTTGCTGCTTAATCACCGTATCAATATATTTTGGCATTCGATAAATAACTTCTGGCAATACCGATACAAGATCAGCGGCGAGATAAACATCGTAGAGTGGACCTGTTTGAATTAGTTGTTCAAGAAGAGGTGTCTTCGTGATGCGATGAAGTGTAGAGCAAGTTTGACGAAGAGCGAAAAGAGTGTAAATATCCGTATTAGAAATTATTTCGTTCCAGATTTCTACTGGAAAAAGTTGAAGGGCTCGTTTGAGGGAGGGCGTTTTTTTAATAATATTTTCAGTCATTTTTTATGTACGTAACATTATCGATAATGAATTATTTTTGATAAAATAACAGAAAATAGAAATTGTGTAATTTCAAATTAATCATACATGTACGTAATAGTACATGTTCATTTAAAAATGATTTTTATTTGATGCTAAATTATACGTATCATTGCTACAATGAGTTTAAATCGCACATCGACATTCATTCCATGATTGATTAACATACTTCCTACATCGACATCTCGGTGATACGAATGCTAGTGCCAAAAGAAACCAGTATTTAGCATATATCGATATACTCGACAATAATATTTTGTTCAGAAAAGTAATTACCTATCTTCCAAGGTCAATTTCTTATCAGTGCGAGTCTAATAATATGAAAAGTTGAGTTTTCAAATACATGTATTTAATATACTGTACTACATGTACATAAATGAATTGATTACACTTGCATTGATACGAATGTTAATGTCAACACGCGAGACTCCCATCTCGTACAAACGATCAACGCATTTACGAATAGTGGACAACACATCGTCCCAGCGTCCTTCTATATTTAAGTGGTTCGGAACGATAGTGGCATACATTAATTTATGTAATGTTTAACATCAACTAGTTAAATAATAGATACTGACCGATGTTCGTACCGCTTGCGTGAAGTTTATAATTCAAACTGGAGAAAATTATGTAAGCAGCATATAGAAACTAAATGCAATAGTAACATTATTAGAAAACTTACCCAGATTCCTTCAGGACTTTTTGAGTTTCAGCAATGTACTAATAAAAAATTGAAATGAGCGTGATTAAATTATAAAAAATAATCTTTAATCAATAAATTTAAACTCACGTTGGAAGTACTGGTACCAACTCCAATAGGAGTAACGCTAAAGTCTCCGAGAACATGAGCATCTTCAGTAACTTTTTGTTGAGAAGTCATTATGAATAATTACAGTTTCAGGAATGGAGAATTAAAAATTTAGTTTTGTCGAGTTGAAAGAAATAATCGTTTGTGTTAAAGACTCGTATTTAAAAAATTCGAGAATTTGTCGGCGTGGGTAAATTAGGCGAGAAAATAATGTATCATACATATCGTCATGAAATTTTGATGTCGAGGATTCGTCGGCGTGAGAAATTTTGACCGTTAGCGTTAGAGCGATTTACTAATCTACTTGATGATTGTGTAGATTTCCGCATTTTTATATCAAGTATAAGGAAAAGTAATTTTAAATAAAAACAGTTCACATTTCTAAACAAAAATCACCCTTTTTTTTTTTTTTAACAAAAACCACCTTTTTACAACCTGGCTTAGAACAAGACTACTTACCAAAGTGCAAGCAAAATCCAAGAAACATATGACGTCTCAGTTGAAACATTGTGACGATGGAAGGATTGCTATCGTCAGGACACCTGGTAGAAAACGACTCTATTCAATTACAGACATACATAGAAGCTTTGGAGACAATCAACAGACACAGTCCACGCAAAAGACCAAGATCTGCTACGTCAGAGTCAGGTCAGAGCATCAACGAGACGACCTTGAACGACAGATCGCCAATATCTGACAACACTACCCAGAATATGAAATTGTCAGCGATATCGGCTCAGGACTCAACTGGAAACGCAGGGGATTTGTTGCCCTTCTGGAACGAATACACGCAGGAGGAATCGAGGAAGTGGTGGTTACCCAAAGGTTGAGTTTAATTTTTATTTGTTATTATTTTTATTGCTTTTATTATTTTACTAACTTTTTTTAGGAACTATTGTGTTGTTTCGGATTCGAGCTTGTGGAATGGATCTTTGAGAAGAATGGGACTCGGTACAGATGTTAGTGCCAAGAGTAATGAAGCCGGAAAACTTGCAGAAGACTTGCTCTCGATCGTTACTGTATTTGTGGCAAGACATAACGGAATACGTTCAGCCGCCAACCGCAGAAGAAGACGAGAAGCTACCCAAGCCCAAGAAGATCAAGAGTTCCAAGATCCCAGCAGGCAAGACACAATGTACCCGTCTCTTTCCTACACAAGAAGAGCGGTCGAAACTCAGACAATGGATAGGACAGCACGCTGGACGTACAATCAATGCCTTATCGCGGTCGAAAAATGTGTCAATTGAAACAAAAAGGATTTGCGAGCACAATATCTCAACGCCATAAACTTTAAGAATGACACAAAACTTAAGTGGATTATAGAAACGCCTTATGATGTACAAGATGAAGTTATGAATGACTTGCTTAAAGGATATTCTTCCAACTTTGTTGCAAATCATAAAAAATTCAAGATGAAGTTTTGTTTTAAAAAGGATTCTCGACAATCAATTGCAATACTTTTTAAATGCTGGGACAAGTCTCGTGGTGAATACGCATTTCTTCATAAAATCAAGTCGGCAGAACCTCTTCCAAATCAACTTGAATATGATAGTGTCTTGTTGTAAATCGCCTTGGTGAATTTTACCTTTGCATACCTAAACCACTTGAAATATGGACCGAAAACCAAAGTCCTTTATTTTTAAGAGTGCAAGAAAAGATTTTTATTTATTTTAAGTTATTATCATTATATTATTTATATCATCTATACAAATGTTTTCTTGTCCTATATTAATAATAAAAAGATCTTTATATTTTATATTAAATAATTTTATATCAGTATACAATAATATTTAAAGAATAAAACTTTAATAAAATTAATTTATTCATTTAATTAATAATTTAATAGGAAGGATCAGGAGTGATTGCTCTGGATCCAGGCGTGCGTACATTCATGACTGGCTATGATCCAAGCGGAATAGCTATTGAATGAGGAAAAAATGATATTAGTAGGATTTTCCCAGACATATGACAAAATCCAAAGCAAACATGACTCTATTCATGAAATGATACAAGCTTCGCAGGGTCATGCTTCGTATGCATAAAAAATCTGTTGTCTTATTAATGATTGCCACCATAAACTTGCCAAGTGGCTGTGTCAAATTATCATATTATTTTATTGCCTGAGTTTAAGACACAGGGAATGGTTATGCGTGAAAAACGGTGAATTCGTTCTAAGAGCATCCGTGATGTCAAGTAATTGTATGCACTGAAGAATATACTAGTAAGACGTGTGGGTGCTGTGGTCATATCCATCAAAAACTGGGTGGATCCAAAGTGTTCCGTGGTCCCAGTTGTACAACTGAGCTTGATCAGGACATCAATGGTGCTCGCAATATACTTCTTACCCACCAAAATCAAGAGTCAGTTTATGCCGGCGCTGGAACCTACCCCTAGGATCTTGATGATCCTTGCAGAACATGTATATTTCCTTATTGGGCATGATCAGAAATGTGATGTTTGATAAGGAATATATAGGTTTAATTGTAGACGTTACAGTGTTGGTCGGTTAACATCATTATCAGCACGAAGAAGTGACCTCATAGATAAGTCAGATTCGTTTTTAATTCTGGTGACTTAATCTAATCCAAAATATGGTTTTTATCGACTTGCTTTAGAGAAATAACTTCAGATTTTTAAGTAATTAATAAAAGTAAAAAAAAACATGGCTAAAATTTAAAAGTTCGGAGTTTACAAAAAGAATGAAAAGGTGAAGGTTTTAGTTATAAAGAATGAATGAATAGATGTTGGCACACCACACAAAAAAAAGGGGAAATCGCTGTTTTAAAATAGTACTTTTCCCTTTTTTTGTATGGTGGTGATTTTATCCTCACTTTATTAGTTAATAGAGAAGGCAATTTAAATTGCTTTCTCTATCAAACTAATAAAGGTGAGGATAAAGATAATTATGGGAAGAGAAAAAGAAAAAGAAGAGGGAAAAAGGGAGGGAATAATGATTGGTGATGCTGGTGATGTCGACGATGTTGGTGGTGATGTAAGCGATTTTGATGATGATGTTGACTTTGATGGTGGTGGTGGTGTTGTTCGTGACGATGATGATGGTGGTGATGTTGTTGTTGGCGATGATAATAACGTCGTCGATGGTAATCTCGATGATGATGATAAAGTCGATATCGACGTTGACGATAATATTTTTCTTCTTCTGGACGTTTTGGATGATGTTGATAATGATATTTTTCTTCTACGTGATGATAATAATGATGATGACATTGATGACATTGATGGTAATATCAATGATGTTGGTGATGCTGGCATAACCAATTCTTGTTGATGTTTACAGGCAGCAAGCCAACAGTTGAATTCTAATTCAGTTTCTAGTAATGCTGATTGTGATAAAGATGATGAGTTAATCATACGTCGAAAGTTTGATTCAATAATTGCTAATGCTGTTGGTAAATGAATGGATGATGGTGACATAGATGACGATGTTTTCCTTCTTTTAGACGGTCCAAAAACAACCTCAACCATTGCATCTTCTAAATCTTCCGGTGACGTTTCCTCTGATGATGACGATTCTTCCTTCGATGGCGATGATGCTAGAAACTTTCTTTTTTTTGATTTTCCCTTATTATCGTTCTTGTCGTTATTGTTGTTGTTGTTCTTTGTATTGTTATTATAGTTGATAAGCGCTTGTGTGAAATAATCAGGATTTTTAATATCCTTAATAGCATCTGATGGTGGGTGAGCCATAGCGAGAATGACCTTTAATAAAAGTAAAATAATTAATAATTTTTTAATTATATTAAAAAAACAAAGGTATCTAAAGGAAAGAAGGGAAGGAAGAAAGGGTGAAGGAAGGGAAGGAGAGAGAACGTGCTATTTCGCGCCATTTTCGCGAGCCATTCGAACTCGTTTTATGGCGCGAAATAACGCGTTTTTCTCTCCTCGTTCTCATTTCCCTTTTCTTCCTCTCACTCTCACTCTCACTCTCCCTTTCCTTTTTCTCTTATTTACTAACCTTTTTCTTTTACTTTTTTTACGGTCAAAAGATAATAACAAAAGATATTAAATCTTCAGAATAAAATTCAAAGCGAGTCAAGTTATGACTCTCACCCTCACGTGCCCACCAATCAATAAGAACGTGCGTGTAAATTTTCTACTGCCGGGTAACGAATTTTTGATCAACCCGGCCGGCAAAACAAATTGAAAAATACGGGATTCTCGAGTTAATCTTTGATCATTTCAACGTCATACAATTCTTTGGAAAGTCGGCGAGTAATTTCAAAATTATAAAATTTTAATGAGCCAATAAAAATAATCCCAATTACATGTATTTGTAAAATACATTATTGAAATGAAAAAAGACAAGATCGCGAAACGAGATTCATAGTGAAAATTGGTATGACGGAAGATAATGCGTATTTTTGATGCAAGCAAATAAAGGAAGATCAAAGTTCTAAAAATTCACTGAAGCATAAACCAAGTAGAACCTGCATGAAAGATGAACTTAATCATTTTGCATATTTAACCCAATCTGCTGGCGTTATGTCCTTCATACCATATTTTTTACACCATTCCTCTCTAAGATGCCACCACACACCACGCATATTTCTTATCTCGCTATCCGCAACATCTTTAGGCTCTATTTTTAACCAAGGTGGTTGGTTGATGTCCATCAACGTGTTTAACTCAACAAATTGGTCAGTATTGTTACTTTTCCAACGCAACTCGTGTGCTGCTTTTTCAGAACAAACAACCAAGCCTGTTTCTCTGCTATGCATATACCTATATCCTCCAAAGGCCGTGATCACATGTGCAGAGGTATGATGAGTATGTCTGGTGCCTTTAATATCTTCACATTTTGAATTACAAGTAGGACAACGCGCAGTGCAACCTTCCAAGGTGTCCCATTTCGCTTCGATTATTTGATCAGCATGCTCCCGAAGACGCTTCTTCGATATTTCAAGATACGCCTCAGTTTCCCATTGGTTACGAAGCTTGTCAAAATTTTTCTTCAATTCCTCTTTGAAAATTTCGCAAAATTTCTTGGGATCTTCGACATTATATTCTCCAAAAACGGACGAGAACCCTTTGACATAATTGTACGCGGTATTTCCCCGAGATTTTTCAAACATAACTTTAATATTAGACTTTTGACCGAGACTCCATACGCTAGCAATTTCCGAAGTGAGGCGCGTTTCGATTTCGTTGATTGTTTGCTTAATTTCTCTAAACTTGCCATCCACTAATGTAGTAATTTTAGTCTTGCACTCTTCTTGAAAGACTCTCCGAGTAAATATTTCGAGGTTGGTGAGATATTCGCGAACGGCGTTATGATCCTTTTTACCGAAACTTTGTGTATGCGCCCAATGGGTCGTGCCGTACTCGTTCACCCAGCTTTCTTGTAAATAATTGTAAACGTCACCTCTAATTGTTGATTCGTGGGTTAAAAGACTTTCGGTCACCGTCTTGAGGATGTGCTTAGTTAATTCCAAAGACAGATTTTTAGCAGAATGATCTAACAAGAGGTTAGTGAAACTTGTTTGGAGAACTTCTTTTTGATCTTCGAGTTTTTTCTTTTGTACAGAATGCCATTCTTCCATGTTTTGCCTTAGAATGTTGCATACCTCTAGCCGAAAGTATTTCTAATAGAGATATCAATAAGAACAAGATGGTTTTATTTCAAATAGCTAGTATGGCGATTCTATTTACCTCAATTGGATTAAAATCATTAATCTGTGGCAAAAATTCGGTCTGAGAATGGCTCAAATTTCCAACAACATTGAAAAGCCCATCGCACAACCTCTGAAGCCAACTATGCGTTTTGCCATATTCAATTCGTATAGATTTATCTATTTTGATTTCGGTGCAAACTTTATGTGTGATTTTTTTGATCTCTTCAAGAACCTTCCGAGTAGCATCGGATCGGACCGAGTCAACATCTGCCAAATTATTAAGAGCGTTTTTGATTGTTCTTTTAATACCGTGAGGTTTTACAATAATTAAACTGGCTACAATATCGTAGTTCACTATGATACCCTCTGTGGCCAATGTAGCGGGCATCTCAAGTGACATCCAGAATTTTCTGTTAAACTTCTGTTCAAAACCTGGATTTTGAGAATTGACCGTGCTCTGGCCTCCTTTGATTGCTTCATTAAATGAATTTACTAGTTGTTCAAGTTGGTTAGTGTTTCCAATGCTTTTCATGAAATTTTCGTGAGATTGTTCCACATTCTTCCACGTATCATTGAATAGTTGGTCACGTTTATTTTGGTCACGTTTCAACTCTTCCAAAACTTGAGTTGAGTTGAATTTGATTTGTTGACCAAAGTCTTCCACAGCATTATCTATAAGTGCCTTTTCTTGGTATTCCCGTTCCTCTTCACACCATATTGCTTCGAGACTAAGTTTGTCGGTGGCGAACATGTTGCGGATCAAATTTCGTCCCTCTTCTTTAATTCTAGCATCAAATTGATTAGCGGCTTGCTGGTTAAATTCGAGCAGCGCTTCATCGCGGTGCAATTTTTCAATCCCGGATAGATTCTTCAAAAACTTGTTGTGGATTTGATCTGATTGATTATAATTCGCTTCGAGCTTCTCAATGTAACTCTTGATGCTTTTGTTTACTTCGTTCCGGAATGGTGTTAAATTTTTTTGAATATTTTTAACAATTGCATGCATCACATTCCACCTTTGAATTTCTTTAAAGTCATTGAAGTGGAGGAAACTGCCCCTGGCATCAATCATCCCCCATGTTGTTTTCATTTGTACAATAAAGCCTGAATATCAAAAATAGAATTTATGATTAACATTTTAAATTTTGAAAAGAACAAAGGCACACCATAGTTACCATTGACGTTATCAAACATTTTAGTATCTGGATCGTAAGTTGAATCAAGCGCTGACGCAAGAAGGGCTTGGCGTAAGTTTGATACTTTGATAGGAAAAGTTTCCTAAATTATATACGGTTAATTAATAAAATTACATTTTCAGCAGCTAAAATTTCACATGTAACTGATAGACTTGCCGCGGGTACATGTATGTTTTCAGATTCTGAGATAATCTCTGCCCGCGGTCGAAAATCATCATTATAAGATGAGAAAGCGTTCACCAGTAGGTGTACATCCTTTTGTTCTATCGTCATAATGTTGTCTAAATCTTCTGTGCAGCCAGGAATTTGGCGAAACATTTCTTCGAGACTCGTCCGAATGTCTAAAAAAGCTGGTTTTTGGGCATCAGCTTTATCCATCATATCACGCAGTACAAAATGCAATCTCGGTTTTAATTTGCTTGCTTTTAATGCGTCCAAATGATAAGAGGAGACCTCAAGGATATTGGCGATATCACGCGTTAAGCCCTTTGTATTAATGATGACGATTTGGGAGCACATCAAAGCAAGTAACGTGATTTTCTTGTCGAAACTTGTGCGTCTGGTGATGTATTTCTGAGCTGTAGACCCCATGCCCTCTTTTCTTGCGAGGTTATAAATTTAAATCAATTCCCGCTCTAATTGTTACACTTATTAGTAGTTTAAAAAGACAAACCTGAATCCAGTATAATGAGGTCAATTGGCTGTCCGTTAAACACAGAATGGCGATATGACATATACATTCCCTTTGTACTATAAAATAAAATAGCCAAAGTTATTATTATATTGGTTGCCACCAATGCCTATGGACACAGCCACTCCAATCTTACCATCGTCCAGCCGAAGTCGAAAATCCGCATTTGAAGAGGTAATTCAACAAGGTAGACTTTCCTGAGCTCTCTAAACCGATAACAGATATGGCAAGTAGTTGACGGTTTGGATCCGTCATTATTGATGATAGGACCTTTGATAAAAAGTCAGGATCGAGCGCTCGGAGCGATAATCCATCTAACATTTGCATAGTCTCTCCTTCTGTTACCCAAGTTCGGTAGGCGTTCTCCAGAGTCCTGGTGAAATGCATCATTAATAATTTGATCTTTGAAATACTACAACGCAAAATAAAGCCATTTCTTACTTGATGTCAACGGAATAGAGTTTTTGAGAAACAGTAGTGTCCCTCGTAACCATGACCTTTGCGAGAATAACCAATTCCCGCCAAAAATCATGGATTGAGATATCATTATCTTCAATCTGCTGCCTGATACGTTGCTGAGTGAACTCTTCGGATTGATCCAACCTTGAGAGGTCGCGTAAATGCTCTTTAAAGAAGTTATCGACGTCGCGAGCAAATGCGCGCATTTTACATATGTCGTTTTCATTAATCCCTTCTGCAAATAAGGATAGTATGGGTAAAGGTGACGCGTTACCTATGGCAGATTTATCTGATTTTAAACTTTCAATTCTCTGAGATAATTCCTCTTCAGTTATGAATTTATAGTTATCCTCCAAGGTTGTCAAATGGTTCTTATCCAGAAGGCTTTCAATTTCGTGTTCAGCATATGATGCAGGGAAAATAAAATGGCGCCGAAAATCACTAAGGCCATTAACAAAGCCGGCGTCCCGCATGCACTGGGCAAAAGTTCTGTGAGTCATCACGCCGGACCAAACAACAACTTGGGTAACATCAGTGATTGCATGGGAACTGGTTGACATATTGAGCGTAAGAGTGGATACAAATATAATTCTTTCACTTTCAAAATAGCATTATATATATATATCGGCCTTTAATTCATCTAGTTGCTGTTGACCTTTAGAAGTTGAGAGTCTCTTGAAGCCAATCTCATCACTACTAAATCTTGATTTAAGAATTTGTTCGCTTATTCAATATATCATGCGCCCTTTGATCCGTCTTTTTTTTTGGGTATCCTTGTATAATACTAAAATTTTGCGTCTTTCTTCGGCATATCGATCCGTGGAAATTGTAAGGATTTGATTTCTAGTTCTTGGTTGATTTCATCACCATTGAAATCATTATCAGAGACATGTATCATTAGAAAGAAGGCATTGGGAGAAACTATTCACAATGCCATTCATGAATTGGAACGGTGTCTTGCTATTAATACTTCAGCTATTCAACCGGTTGTCGAATGTGATTTTCAGAAAAGAGATATCCGGATGAGAAATCGAAATGATATCTTCCCGATTTGTGCTCAAAATTGGATATAATTGTTTCGAAAAAGGAGGACTTATTTCGTTAGTCGTCAAGTTAAAGAAGGGAGAAGGCAATACTTTTTTGCTATTACCTGTTCAATCATCATCTCCGTTACATTCAATCCGAGTCCAATTTACATAAACGGGGGTGACTTAATCTAGTCTAAATATATATTGTTTTTATCGACTTATTTTAGAGAAATAACTTCAGATTTTTAAGTAATTAATAAAAGTAAAAAATATGGCTAAAAATTGAAAAGTTCAGAGTTTACAAAAAGAGTGAAAAGATGAAGATTTTAGTTATAAAGAATGAATGAATAGATGTTGGTTCACCACACAAAAAAAGGGAAAATCACTATTTTAAAATAGGGATTGTCCCTCTTTTGTGTGGTGGTGATTTTATCCTCACTTTATTAGTTAATAGAGAAAGCAATTTAAATTGCTTTCTCTATTAAACTAATAAAG